AATAGTGGTAGAGAAACAAGAGAGAAGCAATCAATGTGAGCAATGCTAGGAAGAAATCAATGGAATAGAATTGTGTGGGTAGGGAGGAAAGAATGTCAAACTGAGCCTAGGTTTTAGAGCCTAGGCATCTAGGAATACGGTTTACAAAATATGGAGGCCCAGAGGAGTTGGTTTCTGCCTCAGCATTATAGCTTCTGCATCTTCATTTGTAGCTTTCACATTTTGTTTCTTAGTCTCATTACTCTGGTCAAGTTGCCTCAAGAACATTCCTCCTGCCACAGTTTTATTATCTGAGAATGGAATTTCCACCCACAGAGATTCCATGGTCCTTTCTGATGCACTTTCACCCTGCTGCTACTCACGGCATTTTTTCCATCTAATTCTATCCGATGTGTCCTCTCCTACTCGGCTCCCTTGCCCCAATCCATATTCCTGCAGCTTGCCACGGACGCAATCTGTTTTCCAGAGTTCCCTTCTGAGCTACCGTCAATAACAAGCATATAATGTTTCCAAGCATTCCAATTTGCCCACTTCTTTATTTCACCTTCTTGCTCATTACCATCATGCGTTGCTTAATGACAGGAATAGTTCTGAGAAATGCACCATTAGGCGATTTTGTCGTTGTGCAAACATCATAGAGTGTACTTACACAAACCTAGATGGTGTAGCCTACTACACACCTAGGCTCTATGGTACTAATCTTATGGGACCACTGTCGTATATACAGTCAATTGTTGACTGAAACGTCATTATGCAGTTTGTGACTGTATTCATTTTGGTTTGACTTTCTGTTACTTCCTATAACTCTTAATTATTTGAATTGGTGAAATCAGGTATATTTTCTTACCCAGTGAACTAAAAAATGTTCCCAGAACCAATTTAAAGGACTACTGTCAAATGTTTTAAAAAAAAATTTTATACATTCATTTTCCTTCATTTTCAGCTGGAAAACTCTTCATCTTTTTATTTGTTAATGCCGGTATGGTTTTAGCTCAAGGAGGAAGCCCAGTTTTTCTGCATAAATTCTGTCTTCTAGTAAAGATCCTCTTGTACTTCTCTCCCTTAAATCTAAACGGCCACCTCTTTACACACACACACACCACATTATCTGACTCTCCACTTCTTTAAGGCCCTGCCGTGCAAGGATGATGAATGGCTGCGAAAACCACACCTCACCTTTGTTTCCAGTCTGTTGCCTGGCCGAGCTCAATTCTATCACCCAAGCCTGCTTATTAACAATTCCACAAGTCTGACCACCAGCTCCTCACACTCTCTCCAAAATAACCTGCCTATACATATTCTGTTTGCTCAATCTTTGCATTTTATGACAAGTCACCTTCAACCTTTTGTGATGAGCACAAACTCAGCAAACCACTTGCTTAAATTCTAGAGGTGAACATCAAGCTGTTCTAATCTGTGGTTTATAAGTGGCTGATTGACATCAGGCAAATGATCTCCCTCCTCCAGGCTCCGTTGTGACAAGTGAGGGTGTGAGACACAAAGGTCTTTAGAGTTCTTTCCACTCCAACAGTGGATGATTTTCTCATCCCCACTACAAGTTGGGCTCCATAATAAAACACTCTAAAACTGGCTAGATGCGTCCCAACCTTCTGCATTTTCATCCCATTGCCTTCTGCATTTTCCTGTTCTCCCTAGGACTATCTGCTTCTGTGATGGCTAACGTCTCTCTTGCTGGATTTGTGGACTCTACCATAGTATCCTATGGTCTATCCCTCTCAGCCACCCTTTCCAGAAGAGTCTAAACTTTCTCCCTGGCGTTCGGGAGCCCCTCAGTCTGTGAGCAGATTTAGAACCTCCATCTCACTCAGTGCAATCAACTGACCAGCTCCCACTCTACTTCTGGATTTCCATCTGCATTGTTCAGAGATAATTGCCTCTTTGAAATGCTCAGGTAAACTGCCAGGAAGATATTTATCTGCCCATTGGAGCTCCTGGGGAACTTTGTGGGCCAGACTGGCCCCTCCCTGTAGAGGCTCTGCCCTCAGGCCCATGACTCATTCACCAGGCAGCAGGGATCGGTAGTCACTCCCACCCTCACTGGCTTGCTCCCTTGGAAAAGTTTACAGCACACACCAGCCCAGCTCCTTTCCTCCACACATTTCCCGCTCACAGGCCACCCAGGAAGCATAAACACCCTCGTCCACTCACCTGCCCTCCCTGAGTCTTCTTCGTGCCCATAGCCTTGTTTTTGCAATGTTGCCTGGGATTCTGCAGACTGAAGAGATGCTCTGCCTCATCTTCTTTCAAGGAAGAGGCTAGAGAAATTTCCACGCCATAATTGTCATTTAAAATGGGTGGGTCGGAAGAAGTGGGTCAAAAACTATTAAGTATAGAGAATATTCTAAGTACATTTGAATCATCACTGAGTGTGGTATCTGTTTCTCTTTAGCTTATTTACTTGTAACCTTTGGCCTCTCTGCACACCTGATTTCAGAGTTAGAAGATTACATTAAACAGCAGGCTGGGAGTTGCTGCAATCATGCAGCTCCTGAGTCATGTTTATAGCAAATGCAGCTTTGGGGTCACCGAACTGGGTGAGTGATAGAGCCGAATCACCAGAAAAAGATATGTATGTAGAGCTTTGAGAAACCATGTACAAGCACGTATCCATCTCAATGTGTCCTGGGGTGGGTGGGTTAGGAATAGTTGTGTCTATAAAGGGCCACTGTACCAAAATACTGGATTTCTAATTTTACCTCCTTAAGAAGAGGTTATAAGGGCAGCACTGAATACTTAAAAGCACACAGACTATTGTGGGTAGAGCAAATGGGGTCCAAAAGGGCATGGAGTTTATCTATGTATGTGAAAGAAAGGGAGCCAGCGAATGTAATTTCTTTAGATTTTCAGACTTTTAACGCCTACTCCAAATGCTAATTTAAAAAAAAACAGGCATTATAGGACCCAAATCCATTTTATCTCGTAGCAAATCATGCATATAGAAGTTGTTTAAGAGAAAACAAAATTCGGGAAAACAAACACATCTCAAACTCTGAGCCTTCCAGACACTAACATGGACACTAATCTTATTAAAATCATTATAAATGACCATGATAGAGCAAGGAGTGCGCAATAAAAATCTTAAGACCATAGTTAACTCTCAGTGAAAAGTTGATGGTGAAAATAAACTTTAAAGAACAGCTTTCTATGCTGCGTGAGTAGGTGAAAGTGACAGAAGGAAATTCAACATGGTCAAGTGCACAGAGGAAATAACTCAGTATCTATCTAGAGATGTTAAGCGCCAAGCACGGTACAATTCAGAAAAGGGGCTGTAGATAGGACTGTTGTTGTGTCTCCTGAAGACATTACCTGTGTGCATGGTTTTGCTCAAAAGCCAACAAAATACTGTATATTCATATATGCCTCAAAGGTAGTTCTGTCCAAAAAGCACTGTTAGTGGTTGTTTTCACATTCTCGCATAAGAAATTGCTATGTTTCTAAAACAGTGATGCCAATTAGGATTAAAGAATAAGTTGAGTTAAATTCTGGAAATCTGAAGAAGGAAGCAGAAAATAAGGAGAACTGTACCCAATTTTTCAAAACCCAATGTATGGAAAATTTAGTAATTCAACTGAGGAGAGACTACTCACATCTAAGTTTTGTTTGTTTTTTGTTTTTAAAACCAAGAACAGGTAGAAGCCAATTGTCTTTTAATTTCCCAGATGAGGTGAGAATCACCCAATTAAACGAATACATATTAAACATCTAAAAACAGTTTTAGTCTTATGGAAGTCAGCTTCAAAGGTGCTCAGAAAGCCTTAGCAACTTCAAGCAAAGAAGCAGTCATTCAACTAAAAAAGTTACTTGCATATGTATCATTCAGAAGTTGATATTTTATCTCTCTAGGAAGATAAGGGAGAATTTGCCTAGAAAATATAAGGTTGACTATGGCTCTGTTTGAGCCATATGGCCAGTATTCAAATACTGGTTTGAACAAATAATTTGGATTATAATTATGGTTATTGCTATTAAGAAGAACTAGTTGTTAGTTTACATTATAACATATACATATTAATATATCATATATTAATAATAGAAAGCTGGCTTTACGAAAATAGTGAAAAACCTCAATTGAACTTCTCCAAAACTATCCCTATTTTAGTTTTTTTAGTAGGGTCAACCGATTTAGGTAAAATTAATATTACTTCCATCTTAATTACTATAGTGACAACTTTTCTAAAAATTAAGCAAGCTAACTTACATTTTAGGATGCATTGAAAATAAAATGTGTCATCAGAAGTGATACTATCATGTCATATCATTGTTAATTGGGCATAGGACAAGTTTATAGTATTATTCTTACCTTTGTACAAAGTTGCAATGCAATTGTACTCTTGAGCTCTCCTAAAGATAAAATGGAGTACTAGAATGTCCAGGCAAGGACCATAATGATCCAGCTTAAAAGTACTATTGCTGTATAAGGGCACTATATGAGAACAAGGTGTAACGAGTGATGCTCTTCAACTCAGCAGGGCAATCTGATAGGAGAGAGAGAATCGTACATTGTAGAGTTGGATAGGACTTGGGAGGTTACTTGGTCCGATCCTGCATTTTACATTTATGGAACCTGAGACACAGACAGGCTGAATTATGGCAGTGCAGTAACTGGAGTTGAGGTTTCTTGACTTGGATTCTAGAACTCTTTCCATTACACTATGCTGACTTTTACAAAGAGGATGAAATAGCTGGGAAGATACCTTCACAATAATTCAGGTCGGAATATAAAGTTATGAATGGTCTGAGCTAGATTTCCAAATCCATCCAAACTAGCCTTCCTTCAATTCTTTCTAATTCATTCTACAACCTCTGAGGCTATAACAAGCAGAAAAGCTGCCCAAACTCTCGGGAGTCATAAAGCAGGAGTCAGCATCTGCCTAACCTAGGCACCATCTTGGTCTCTCATTACATCTAAATCCAAACCCTCATGGGATTCCGTGTTCTGACCTTGTTCAGTGCTGAGGAGTCTGAAAAGAAAATGCTTGGAGAAGTGCCAAGTTTATTAGAGTGAGAGAGTAGTACCCTCACGTGGCCACCAAGAGACATAGATCCCAGAGATATATGCACTGACCTCACACCAATAATTATGGAAAATCTCCAAAGTTGGAAGATACCTTAGGGGTCACAAGGTTGACCCTTCCATCTGATGTGTTAACTCCCTTAAACATTTCCCTCCAGTGGACTGAGGTCAGATTCTGTTTAACATACGGCCATGATGGAAACTGGTCAGCTCTGAATCTGCAGTCCGAAGCAGAGAATGTTTAAGGACTACATGGTAGTAGAAGTAAAGTTTCTTGGCTTAGGCCCCATTTGTCCCTTTTCCTATGAGAAAAAGGTCCCTAGATACCAGTGCAAAGTCCCTCAAAATCCTCCCACCAAGCACAAAGCACAAAAAAGGAGGCGTGGGACTAGCACTGGTAGCTGGATTTTGTCCTGTCGCTTTCAGAAGGTCTAGTTCTTGGTCCACAGAAGGCCTCTGTTGCAGGGTTCTGGGGCCAGCCCTCTCCACGAATGTGTTGCCCTTAAGCTCAGGGGATTTCTCTCAGAGAATAGCTAGGTCTGCTGTCCCACCAGCTGTAGTTTGGCAGTCTTGACTCGCTGGGCCTCCTCCAGGTTCCGTGCACGGACCTCTGGGTTGGAAATGAACTCCACTTGTTGCAGAGGGAACCAGCCTCGCTCCCCATCTGAGAGTCTCACGCCCTCCAGCCAGCCTATGGGCACAAAGTGGGTGGGAAGAAGAATTACCTGGGAAAGACTCACAATAATTTCTCCTGGAAACTTGTCTAATCCTAAGACTGAATAGACTGGAGAGCCCCCAGCATGGGAAGTCCAGCCTCCCAATGCACTAACCCTGGCTGCTCTGGTTCTGGCAAAGCCTACAGTTGCCTATTCCTGGGCCTTCTCCACTCCCATGGGTTGAATTGTGCTCCCCTAAAATACATGTTGAAGTCCTAACACCAAGTACCTCAGAATGTGACCTTATTAGGGAACAGGGTGGTTGCAGATGTAATTAGTAAAGTTAAGATGAGGTCACCTTTGAGTAAAGTGGGCCATTAATCCAATATAACTGGTATCCTTATAAAAAGAGGGAAATTTGGACACACACACATACACACAGAAGGAGGATGGCCACATGAAGATGGAAGTAGAGATCGAAGGTAGAGATTGCCACAAACCCAGGAATACTCGAGACTACTGGAAGCTGGAAGAGGCAAGGAAGGATCCTCCCCTAGAGGCTTCAGAGGAGCATAGCCCTGATGACACCTTGATTTTGGACTTCTGGCCTCCTGAACAGTGAGAGGATAAATTTCTATTGTTTTAAGCGACCCAATTTGTGGTACATTGTTAAGCAGCCCTAGGAAACTAATACATCCACCTAGGGTGTCCACCTCCAATGCCCAGCCTACTCCTGGTGGATTCTCCCTCTTACCATCACTGCTTTGCTGAGTCACCATCACCACGTCAGCCTTCTCTAGTGCCAACTCGTCATTCTCTCGGGGATGGTAGGCTCGAAGGCACTGTACTTGTGGGGAGGCTTTGGAAGACAAGAGTGTGAAGAAAGGTTAGGAAAATGACTGGAACATGGAGAAGTAATTACAGAGGGAGGTTGGGAGGACTTGTGATAGAGAAAGTTTGGGCTGCTGAAAGTTACAGACAAAAGACACAACTGGAAAAGTCTCCATCTTCTACCAGGGAACAAAACAGTTGATAAGGAAAGAGGAATATCAGAATTGAAATCAATCAAAAATTCTATTTCTCCAGGGAAGATGAATTGAGAAATATGCTGTGACCACCATTAGTGACTCATTATTACAAATACTTGAGATTCAGCTAGAGACCCATCTTCCCTCTGAAACCTTCCCTGACTCTTTGGACCTCAATGGATTCTGAATTCCTTTAAAAGTGATTGTCTATGCCACACCATTATCTTCTTATCTTATCTGTTTCATGTATGTATTATGTCTCTCCAACTAGATTGTAAAATCTGAGTCTGTGACTCATTCTTCACAGTACCAGATGTAGGGCTAGAAGAGACTGAACCAGTGTGGTTCCGGGTATGATCTAAGCAAGGCATTTAATCCCCGTTAGCTTCAGTTTCCTCATCTATAAATGACTGGGTTGATCAAGCCGATTCTTGAGGAAATTTTGGATTTTCAATATTTCTAGATTTTTGTGAACCAGGGGAAATCCAGTTTTGAAGCTCAAGATAACAAGTCTCAGAGTATTCCTAACTCATAAACATACCATCTTACACGGGTTTATTGTTCTTTCTACTTTACCACACTGCCCTGGTTCTCTCAGAAAACAAACAGAACACTGCACTATTATCTCTACGTCTTTTTCTACCGCTCATCCACATGTGCCACTCACAAGATCACAGTGAGGGAGGAAGAATTATCTTGCCTTCCTTACCTGCCAGGGAACCGAAGGCAACCAGATGGATTACAAAGTGAACAAATTACAGAACAGAACTCAGTTTACAGTCTGGTTCTCCTATTTCCTTTTCCAAGCTTCCTTGTATTTGGTTTTTTTGAGTCACTACAGGCCCAGTATTCCTTTGAGTTCAGTTCCTCTCTGGATATGAATTAAGGAATTCTTGCTGGATGACAACTGTGGGGCTTATATGAGACCTAGAAGTCCAGTCTTGGCATGAATGCAGACACGTTCTTAATGCATGTGTGCCTGTGGCTGCCCGTGGGTACCTGGAAGCCTGGGGTAAGGGGCAGTGGTCTCAGGTCATCCTATACAGGAGGGAGTGTGGTCAAGACAAATCTACTGTGTTTTTAACCCTCCTGCAACTCCCACTCCAGCCCTACATCCTCCCGGATTTCTCTAAGACCTTTTTGTTGTTGTTAGTACTGTCAAGTTGATTCCAACTCCTAGTGAGCCGGTGAATAGCAGAAAGGAACCCTGCCCAGTCTTTTTGCTCCATCCTCTCACCTTCCTGCACTATATCTGACAATGCTCTGCTGCTATTCATAGGGTTTTCATGGCCAATTTTTTCAGAAGTGTGTGGTCAGGTACTAGTCTTCCTAGGCTGTCTTAGACCGGAAGCTCCACTGAAAACTATCCACCATGGGTGGCCCTGCTGGTATTTGAAATACCGGTGGCATAGCTTTCAGCATCACAGCAACACACAGCCACCACAGCAGTATGACAACCAACTGATGGGTGGTGTGGTTCCCTGACCGGGAAACGGACCTGAGCACCAGCAATGAGAGAGCGGAATCTTAACCACTAGCCCACCAGGGCTAAGACCTTTAAGCCGATAAAATCTAGGCAAAATAATAGCAGAATAGACTTAAAGAGACAAATACTTAAAAAGAGCAAGCTATTGCCCAAGGTAGGGAGAGTATGGGAGGGAGGCATTGTCAAGGTGATGAGCAGTTTTAAGCAGATGCATCTCAGGTGTTTAAGCTCCAGTGGCCAGTCTTCTACCCTGAAATTCTGGACAAAAGCAATAAATGAAAGCTTCCCAGAGTTACCATCCAGCCTCCTAAACTCCTATATCCTAGGGAAACTTATGACCCTGCCATTATTCTCTCCCTCTTAGACCCTCACTCACCATAACACTCTAGAAGGTCCAACTCCTCTCTTGGCATGGCCAAAGCTGAGATCCATCGAAGCTTTTCACTTCTGAGAAAACAAAGCAGGGTCATTGCTTCAACTGCAGCTCTAGGGGTGTAGGATAAGGGCCAATGATGGGGAAGGGAAATTACTTGCCTAGTTCAAAAAGTTGTCTAGTTCAATGATATCTAGGACAAAAGTCAATGTGACTCTGCTTGGTTGGAAATATGACAGGATCTTGAACTATATGATAATGTGTCTTGTCACCCTATATTTTTCCCTTGTCTTTCTAAGCTTATCCTCCTAATGGCTTCTTGTATCTTGCAAGTGGGGGCAAAAAGTCAACTGTCAAGTATATACATGTACATTTTCCATTTTGGGACTTGTACTGAGCAAAATGTTCATCTCAGTTTAGATTGCCTCTATCACTTTGCATAATTCTTGACACTCCTCTGCCACCTCCCTTCAATCAACTATCTCAGAGATGAAAATTATTCTGTAATCATAATTAGATCAGGGAGATATATCTACTATTTTTTTGTTGTGTAATATAATCCAAGCCTAATTTTGTAATTATCTGGAGGTTTTTGCATTATCTTAGCCTTTGCTTCCATACTTGCTGGAGTAATTGAAAGAGGACACTATTACTGTTCCTGGAAGATGTTGCCCAAAGCACTAAGAAAAGAACATGAGTCTGCATCTAATTATCTGATTTAGGTGACATTTTGCATACAAACCCCTGTACCAGCCCCTCTGTCTCATAAGTGAGGACAGGCATTATTTTTTATTTTATTTTATTTTATTTTTTTTTGTGAGGAAGATCAGCCCTGAGCTAACATCCATGCTAATCCTCCTCTTTTTGCTGAGGAAGACCGGCTCTGAGCTAACATCT